ATTTACTAAGTCTGTTTCGTTTGACTGTGGAAAGCCTGTTTGTCTGCTCAATTTCGTCATAATTGTTTACCGAAACCACTGCCCATTGATGACCTTTCGATTTGAAAAGTGAGCAATTTGCAAACCACCCTATCGAAATTAAATTTCCTGAGCCATACCTTGTTTACTCTAGACATCGTTTAGATAAACCTCAATCCTCTCTCTAACAGGATCACAGTATTGGCAGCCAAACTCAAATATATGTAATGGGATGACTGATCTGTGAAATTCATATGCGTGTTCGCGATGGCTTATCTATTACAACTGACAGAAGGAGATGTGGCTTAAAACTTGTCCTACCTCTCTTTTTCATAGTTCAGTTAAAGCTCCTTTCAGCTAAATGATCCATAAGACAGAATGGAACTAAATTCTTGTCGCTGAATATGAATATACGACTGGAATAACATAGGCATTGTGAGGATTACCAAAACTCCTGAGATTTAATTTTTACTTTGATTAGCGTTTTGTTTACAAAATAATCCTGGCAATGATGGTCATCAATCTGGTAAATCTCACTTGTAGAAGATTGTAATATTTCCAGTCCATTGTTTCAGTGAATTAAGCGTTTGCAAATCTGATGGCTTATTTTGTGTTCCGGTTCACACATGAGATCCTCCATAGCTGAAATTAAGGGTTTATGCTCCGCCAGTTTGTAAGAGAAGATCAGATTCCTTTGGCTAACTCATAAGTTTGCTACTGAAGTATTCATTTCTTACTTGGTCGTTTTCTCTAGCATTTATTGCCCAAAGCAACCAGTGCAATTGAAGGTTGTCCAATCTCATCCTTGATCCTTCGTTAAAGCAGCTGCCTCCATGGCACTCAGCAGTGAACTGATTTGTTTAAGATGTAGGCGGATATACATGTAAAATAATGTTCCTCTCTCAACGTGATGGTTATCGAACTTACTAGTCATAACAGCAAGCATCGTGTGTAACTCTGATTGGATGGTGTCATCACTGAAGACGATGGAATTGAGATTCTCAATCTGATCAACCTCCAATACCGTCTTTATTTCTTCCTCCACTTGCCAACATGTATAGGTAACTTTGGATTACAAAAAGCAAGCGACGAGATCAAGTTTGGTAGATGTGTCGCATAATTGAGTCTGCTACGCCACTCACTTTGAAAGTATCATCTACGTACTACAGATCTTCAAGATACCTTACAGAACAAGTTGAAATATGCTACCCTTCTAGATTTGGTTGGATTAGCGCTGCTCCAGAGGATAAAGTCGAGAACACCGCGGAAATACCTTGCCTTAATAAAGCTTCGCAGATCATACTGAACCTCTAAAATAGCTCTTCTTCAACCTTAACTGCACAACTGGATCCTGAAATGATTCACAAATTTTACCAGACAAATTATCACTTCGATACTGACACGTTGTCATGAACGAATGCGTCGTCGCACATTGCTGATTTTCGATTTTACCTGTTCGCTTGACCGTAGCGAATCAGCCTTCCAGACATCGAAACGTATATCCTACCCTTACGCCAGATGCGACAACGCAGAATTCCCCTTGGTGACACACGGATCTCAGCTCCATCATGTCAACAGCAGCTTCAATCAGTGTTAAATTGGAGGATCGCCCAAGGTTAAAATATTTTTAGTAACCTGGTCGCCATACCACGTATCCTAGCCATGTTATTGTTATTTTATGGCATAAAGTCAGGCCAGTTGTTTTTGCGAAGGCCAAAAAACATCGATTGAACTTTGCTAAACAGCATTAACTTCTACGGATAGTGAATGTTATATGGTAGGACCACGTAAGGAGCGTCTATATTCATATATTTTTGGTACGTGGTAGAGGTGTGCGCCCATAAATACGGAGAGTGGAAAAAAGGGACAAATCGTCTTGGACCGTGTGCTTCAGCACAAATCGTTTGCTGCCGCCTTGAACTTCAAGCGTGGGAGTAGAAACACTTAAACGTAGGCCAGGATGGCAACATGCAATATAGAGGTATAAGATGGAGGCAGATCTGCTTTAACAGGGGAATATTTCCACCTACAATGCAGTAACTGATAACTTATAGCAAACGCATTGAATATTGCGAATATACCGGACATTACATACCAAAGGCGTCCAGCCTGTGCAAAGGTCTGAGAGTGATAATCTCAAGAAACACACACATATATTGCATTGGTTCAGAAGGCACAATCGTATTTATCTTGACGGATGGTCTATGAGATCTGCTAATTCACTGCAGGGTTCATGACTCGAAAACTTTTGAGTGCTCCCTGAAGCAGACAGATGCCACAGTCTATTCTGAGTCGCCTTCTCAATGAACGTACGGACGGATCACTTGCGGTGTGTACATAACGATTCAATAATATTATTCTACTTCCAGGCTGTAAACATTTTAGCCGTGGATTTACTCACCTAGATCCGAGATAAACACGGCAGGTAAACTCAGTTAATTTGCTTTATTTGTTTTCAGTAAGTTTGTCCTATACAGGCTCACCTAATGTGCACAATGTGATTCGTCATTCGCTCTAAACAGTGCCGTTGTCGCGTTAAAGGATAACTGTCTGTAGTACGTTGATTGTAAT